CCCCCCATATTATTTACCTATGATACAACACAACAAATCAAGGCACTCATTTGCTTTTTTTCCAGGTCTAAAGTACGGAACTCGAATGCTTCGTTTAAATCCAAGTTACATAGAAACGGAAAAAAATTCGCAAGTCAGATTTTTCCTTCCTCTAAATTGCAGAAGAGCATCAATCAACATTTTTACAACAACAGCAACAACAACAAAAAATAAGTGAAAAAAAATTCGTAAAAACTTCCTCTTAAAATTGAAGTCCTAAAAAAGTGACTGTCAACATCCAAGTGACTACGTCGGAAGTTGACTTACGCTACAATTGGAAATAGAAATTTACAAAAGTATTAGAATCAGTGGTAAATTAAATTCTACAATAAGTTATTAAGGATATAGGGACTAAGGTGTAGGAATTTTAAAACCCCGTGTTGGATTTGAATTGTTGATGATTATTTTAATTAGTTGGTTTTTTTCGTGAGTAAATACGAATGAGAGAAGGACTCTCCTGTGTACTCTAGAACATTCTCGTCGAACTACACCTACAAATAAATCTGGATGTTAGGAGCAATGAAGAGAGAACCAGTGAATAAGCTCCAAATAGCGTGAACCCATTACCACTCATGAACTCGGTACCCAACTCGTGAAATTTGAACCTTGCGGAATTTCTATTTTTTTATGGGAACACGGACAACTCAATGATGGGATAACTATCGATCTCAATACGCAAGTAGTACATTAACTCTGTCCATTTTTTTTACTAACAGAGGGTGTTTTCCTTGCTTCTTTAATACTAAGTATTCCAATTGCGTTTAAGTTAAGGAGTGAACATAAATTTTTACCCTAAAGTAAATTTTACAGCCGTCTTATATCCCTATGTATGACTCAGAGGTGCAAGATTTACCCAACTCTATAAAAAAAATTCACCCCCCGCGTGTCTCACAGAGCAGATGGATGCCAGCCGATGTGATGAGTTTTAGTGGAGTATCAAGCGAAGGCTATATAGACACGCATTGAACATGTTTCTATCACGCGTCTAGTACCACGATGGAGATTATTTTGAAAGAGGGTCGTATGATCCCTTAAGGACGTTAAAAGATGCAGCGCAAGAACTCCATTCATTAAAAATTTGCCCTTAATTCAATCCGATATTCTACAATCAATTCTAGAGAGAATGAATAAATATGTCCAAAAAAGGCGGTTCATATCTGAAGTCAATGGTTTTATACACGTCAAAATGCATACAGTATGCGGAGGAGTGAAACAGACTATCTTATTGAAACTCATCAAGAGAGAGGCAATGAATGGCCAAATCAATTGGAGCTTGGGAAATCTAACCCTCTCCCTCTAGATAAGTGTTGGAGAGGATTCTTCATAACATTCTTTTTATGAAACTAAGGGGAAAGCAAAAACAGTAAGTCATGAATTCTTACCAGCCTTGGCAACGTTTTCCATGGAGACATTCTTCTGTTCTGCCATAAAACCCAGGTTGGCGAATACAACGAAACCAGCGTAGATGGAAGTGAGACAATTGATGCACGCCACGATTATCGCATCTCTGCAAGGAAAAATAAAGCAAAAAATAATGATTTTGGGTGATATTAAAACATTGGCCTTTCTTGTGCTAGTTTGATGATCGCTCCACTTTTCTTCAAATATTTCTGGGTAGCGGGGTAGTAATTAAAAGGAACGTGACACCGCAATCGGTTCCCATTTGGGGACCAAAGGTTGAGAAATGTATGGACACAGATTGCTATTATCACACTTACGTCTATGACCTACGTGACATCAAAAGAACAAAGTAAACTACTCAATGAAAGTGTCGTCAAGTGGCGATGATGAAAAGATCCTGCTTATACACAACCCCCCCCCCCCCCCCACGAATCTTTTGCATCTGCTCCATTAATTTAGACTGGAAGTATACTTGTCACAGGAAGGGAAAAAACGATCAATTCATTGAATAATTTGTGTCACAATGAAGCTTCTTCTTCAGATGCAATTCCCTTAACAAAATCTCGAAAATCCACTTATACTAAAACCTTTTAGCAAAGACGCTCTTTTGTTTTGAATGGTAACATTTAGGGATGATGTGTGTGGTTTACGACATCATGAAACTGAAGCGTGAATTTCATTACCATTAAAAGACCTGCCAAGACTTTAAATTGTTTAAAGCGTTTAATCAACTTGAAACCTGGTCATTTAATGATCCCAGGCTCATGTACATCAATACAAATACGATAGTGCGTTCATGACCAATAAGAATAACAGAAAGTGCTTGCAAGATACTACTCTCCAAATTCCTAGAAACTGTGAGATCCCTCAACCCCCCCCCCCCCCCCACCCTAATGCACATTTTTCCAACGTCTGATGAATTTTTTTCTCATGAGAATAGATGGTACTCTTACAAAGAAGACCAAAAAATGCCTGCTTACTTCGGGAGGGAGAAAGGTTGGCATCCACCAAACCAAAAACTTTAAGTAAAATAATGCACTATTATTATTATTATTATTTGAAATGATGCTAAATTAGGCACCAAAAAATCCCTCTTTTCGCGTGTGAAAGACAGGAACGTGAGAAACTGTGTGTGTGTTTGTGTGTGTCTGGAGGGAGGGAGGGCGAGAACTTTTTGATTTACACTCCATTGTTTGTTTAGAGGGTCTCCGAAGAAAGTAAGCAACCCTTCCCTCCACCCCCCGCCCCCCCCCGCCCCCTCCTCTTTTTCCAACTTAGCATTCTTGTTTACAGGATCTTGGGCAGAGAAATGGTTTAATTGACATAATTGCATGCAGGAATGTGATGAATGATTGATGAGAGATTAGTTCATGGCTGTTGGATAACCAGGATTTCGTATTCGATGACACGAAATTGAGATGGGTACCATTCTAGGCAATGATAAATCTCTCTCTCTCTCTCTCGCTTTCTCAAGAACGTCCCGTTGAGTAAATGTAAGGATAGCAATTTACGATACCAATAGAAAACAACGGAATACAAGGATTTCAGCTCTGGGAACCCTGTTCCGATTTAAATAATAAGTTGAGCTCATGTGCTTCAATATAATGTAACTACTTTCTAACAAGAGGAGACCCTTTCTAAATTGCATAAAGCGGAATGTTTCTAGTGAGTGAATATTATTTAGTTCAAGAGAGGAAATAGTGCTCTTCGATGTTACTTTCCATGGAATTTTTCTATAAATAATAAAACCTTTAGCGAACTACTTTGGAACTCAAGATTTCGATTAAGCGCCTTATTTTATGCCAAATAATTTAATTCGTCAAATTTCGTTCGCCAAAATGACCAAAATGATAAAATGTGTTCTTGAAAGTAATTAATACAGAATAGTACACATAACAAAGCTATGAACAACAAGTGTTAAAGGTTTTCACCACGAAATTCGATAGACAACACTTAGCACTCCTCTTTTATTTTAACCACACTGGACGATAAAGATAGACTCAACACCTTGAGAATGAACCTAATCTGGCATTTGAACCCGGAAGTCAGATGACGAAGACCGAACATTAGGACACTGCAAAATGAACACTTATTTCGTGATAAACGGGTCCACTCAATGCCGATGAATTTGAATAAAAGTAAACCTCATTGTATTTTTGGCTTAACTTGTTGACGTCCGTGATCTTAGCGAACCCGTTTCTGTTTTATGCTTCTTTCAGTTACTTAAACAAGAAAAGGTAGCAATAAAACTTTCCGGATATTAAATCTATGCTGCTTGAGTAGCTAAATTTATGCGTTTCACAGTTTTAGCTGTTCATGGACAAATAGACGAGAGTACATTTGACCAGGTAGTATTGTCTTGTTCCAATTAACTACAATGGCTATATAAAATGTCTATCAGCTAATTTTATTATCTTACTGGAATTAGGGAGGTTTCAGACATATTGAAGTTTTGTGGTATGATGATTATTCACTTGATTACAAAATGTGCCTTAATTGCTAGGTAAATATACGCACACACTTTTGATTTATTCAAACATTTTCCACGAATCTCGAACACGTTTGAAGTTAAACAATCTTCTGAGTGAAAAATAGACGCCCAGATATCTCAATAGATCTTTTTTATCATAATGATTTGAGTTTTTCCTATTGTTTCGAACTGTGGAAATACTTCATCATCTACTACAATTCCAATACAACGTTTGCAGGAATTCCTTTGAAAAAAAAACCACTTGATTTGGCGGGTCCTCATTGGCGAGTAAAGTCCAAAAAGGAGAAGAAAAGAAAGGCTAACCCTATCGTAGGTAATTTGCTGCGACATTATAGACAGCTTAAGATTTGTTCAACGTAAAAAAATGAAGATGAAATGCACAAAAAGGATTTGAATGGAAATAGTGGACTCACAGCAGTACAACCCAAATATTTGCCGCATTTAAATTAGGTTGAGCTTTAAAGCAGAGAGAAAGGAGAAAAATAAGAATTTATCTGCATTATTAGCAATTACCTGCAACAATTATTCTTGAATGGATTGTAGCTAGACATTGCAATAAGCGATCCAGAACAGCAACCCAATGAGAAGAAGATTTGCGTGGCTGCATCGACCCACACCCTAGGGTCTTTCAGTCGGTCGAATTGAGGGGTGAGATAGTAGAGAATGCCTTGCAAAGACCCCTTTAGCATTAAGGACCTCACCAAGAGAATCGTGAGAATCAAATAAGGGAAGAGGGCAGTAAAGTACGACACCTGGGCGGGGAGGGGGGGGGGAGAAAAAGGGTTGGATTTATTGAATTCAAATTCAAATCAATAATATAAGTGTACTTTTTGTGGCAATTATTGATAATGCAAAATCGTTTCTATAAGCGAAGGCAATTATAGATGGAATCAAGTTATTGAAAATCCTATAGCTATGTTGAGGGCTATAAGGTACAGAAAATTGAAATTCAGTTGACGCCAGAGAGGAAGAAGTCTCACGAAAGCGTCTGTGTGTCTCAAAGAGTGTTTATCAACTGGATAGACACTCTGGTCCTGCATACCATATTAGCAAAGAGTGATTCAAGATTACGGTAAGATTCTTCTTCACAGAACAATACATTTGATAAAGATATATATTTATTTACTTATTTATTTATATACTTTTAAATGGAAGAAGTGGTGAATGACAAAAGAATTCAGCTATTGGTCAACTTCTAACTTATTGCTTCATACAATGCACCTCGCTCGTTAAAGCTGCCAAAACAAAAGAAACCACCTGAGAGTCGAATTCAATTCCAAGCAAAAAATATGAATCAAAGAAACGTGTTTTGAATCAAATTATTGCAGAAATCTACAGAGTCCTGTGGTGAATTGTTATCGACATTATGAGAACCAACCGATTCAACTATACATTGAAAAATTAAGAATTCGACATACAAAGTCCTAACACTACAAAAATAACGCTACAATAGGGATTAAAAGTCGTGTTGAACGTGAACTTACCTTGCCGAGCGATTGGACACCACGAATGAGAACAAGAGCGCAGATAATCCAAGCTAAGATGAGAACAAGAGACAATTGCCAAGAGGGTAAGCCCATCTCATCAATACCTCCGGATTTTTGCACAACATGATTGCTTTAAGGGAGAGAAGGAGAGAGAGAGAGAGTTGTAAATTAGGACATGCTGCATGTAATAGGAAAAAACCACACACAAGCAAGCACTCCAGCCTCTTCAGATGACAAGTAGCGCACAACTAGGAACAAGATACCCCTATTCGATTTTATTGTTATCATTTCAAATGGCAGGCGTTTTGAATATTTATCATTAGCCATTTAGCTGATTTTGGGCTTCGCAGAGGGAGGAAAATCAAAGTGAGAACAATTCGTGAGGGGGAACAGAAGAGTGACTCACAGATGTAGAGGAGACAGGCAGACACAAAGGCAGAGAAAAGGTGAGATGAGTACTGTGAAAGCTGTGTAATATGACATTCAGTGGGGTGATGGTAGTTTGAAGTCAGAAGTCAGCTGCCGGTTAATAGACTTTTTTCGCCGTATGAGAATACGTTGCCCAGGGTGCACCACGTGGAGGTAAGTCTATCGCACACTCCATTCTATTTTATTGTGTACATGGTTTCAAAATGTAGTAACTAGTTTTGTGGAGAGGGGTGGAGGGTTGATCCTATTCATTATCTCCAACATAATTGAGTGGAGATGCATCACTTAACACCTTACTATCTACTCTTAGAAGTTTCTACCCTCGTTGCCACAACTGAATTTACGTCATCTCAAGAAATTTGGTAAATTGTAATATCTCTCAGGAGTAGTGAGAAAGTCGCCCAGTTTCCAATCAGACTTAAAAATAAAATAGTCATAACAATTTAGTGCATTTTAACTACCTATTCATAGAAAAAAAGCTTATTTGCAGCTTTCGCAACTAAGAACTCCCAAGTGCAACTATTTGCATTATTGAAAAGTTATTTTCCAGTGAAAGCATAGGCAAATTAGCATTTCAGAATTCAAGAAAATCACGCAAATATATGTAGTTGAATATATAATGACATAAAATATAATAATTGAGTTGAACAGTAGTAGCTATTCATTATTTTACTTCCCACCAAATGTAGAATTTCTACTTTTAATCTGCCAGAACTGCCATCGAAAATGTTTGCTAATGTGGCTGAAATTCCTAAACATTCAAATCTGTGTAATTGGAGTTGACAGTAAACGTAGTTCTCATTTTTGTTAAAATTGGAAATCCTCTAACTATAACCCTTTGAAGACCGAAGTTACTTACATCGCAATATGGGGTGCGCGATAGACTTACCTCCCCGTGGTGCGCCCTGGGCAACGTATTCTCTATCAATCGGCAGTTGACTTCTGACTTCTAACTATTATGACCCGATACTATGTCATATTGCACTACTCCACGGTAGTCATCTTACCTTTTTTCTACCTTTGTGTCTGTCTCTTTTACATCTTTGAAACACTCTTCTGTTCCCCCCCCCCCTCTCGACATTTTTCCCTTCGATGTTCCTTCCTCTCCGTGAAGCCTGAAGTCAATTGAAAGGGCTAATGATAACCATCAAAAATGCCTATCATTTGATATAAATAAATAAATACATCGCAATACTCTTAGAGCTTTTCTCTGCAGCGTATTGATCAGAAAAAATATGTCAGTTTGTTATGAAAGAAGCAAATAAATAGGAATTGAGGAAATATGTAGCCGTAAATGGTCAAGCAGGGACATGAATTTTAAAATCTTCCCCCCCCCCCCCCCCCCCCCGCCCCT